AATGACGAATGGTCTTTCCTCCGTGGCCTCATAGTTTGGCGCTCCCAATACCAAGCCTCCTTCCTTAAACTCTCCCTTCATCCTACCGACCGCCTTTTCCTGGTCTTCGCCCCAGACCCATTCTTGATCCTGGCTCACCAACTTCCTTAAATGCTCCGTCTTCGTGGCAAAGTCCTTCACGAAGCTCCTCCAAAATCCGCACGTCCCAAGAAAGCTCCTTAGATCTGTTATCGAGCGGAAGGGCACCGACCACTCAAGAATCTTGTCTGTCTTCTTTACATCAGGCCTTCGCCCACTCTCATTACAGACAAAGCCTAGAATCGTGGCCTCCCTCATACAATGTTTGAACTTGGGGCCCCTCGCCGTCAGGTTATGTTCCTCCAATAACCCTAGAACCTGATCGATGTCTTGGACATGCTTCCAGACAAAGCACCGCACACCGGGCATCACTACGTCTTCCTCCTTCTCCTTCGGACCTTTGACCGCCAGGTCATCGATACAGGGCTGAGTGATATGTGGGCTGACTGTCTGCATGGCTCTGATCATATGCCTTTGCACCATCGCCACTGCATTCGTCCAACCTTGAGGCGCCACGTTCATATGAATCAGCCCTCTGGGAGTGTGCATTGCTGTTACGGGCCTGTCTGGCGGGTATACGGGGAATTGGTCATACCCCGAGTAGAGGTCTATAAGCGAGATTATAGGCCTCCGTACACACGATTCTGACAATGCGTCCGCGTTCGACAATCCTCCCGCGTTCCGCATTGTCACCGCATTTAGCCGTTGCAAGTCCTGCACCTACCTTAGCGTCCCATTTGGTTTAATAAAACAAAACCAAGGTGACGCGTACGGCCCACTRGAATAATCGGCCACCTGCGTCCGCATCTTGCCGTCCAGGTAGTCCACCACCATCTTTTCCTCGTCCGGATTGGGGTACCGTGCGCCCCTTAGATTCCATGGCTCATGTGGGACCGTGTGGATCCTGATCATCGGGATCTTGTCCACATCCAGCCTCCCACGCTCGTCGTCGTTGAATGCATACGCGCGGTGCCTTTTCTTCATCAGCCCCTCCATCAACACTCTCTCCTGGGGYGACAGAAAGTCGGGCTCCCCGATTATCAGCTTCCCCTCATTTTCGTCGTTGATACGGCACGGCCCGGCCAACGCGTGCTCCCGCATACGCCGTATCAACCCTCGCTCCCCGGCCCCGTGTTGTGGCAGGTGATAACTTCATAATTCCCACACGCCGGGTCGCACAGGAGCAGGATCATTGTTCCGTCGTGCTTGTTGAAGATCAACATTTCCGTCCGACACAGGAACGACCAGCCTAGAAGGATGGGGTGATTGACATCGGGCATAACGAAAAAGCAAGTCATGGCTCGCACCTTCCCAATCTCTATAATCACATTTGACGCTGTGCCACAAGAGGCGGCCTTGCAGTTAGCGTCGTGCAGCATGCCATGGTCCGAGTGGTCGATCTCCATGCCTATCATCACTGCCTCCTTCTCCCTGATGATGTTCATTTCTGCGCCCGTATCCACCATCCCAGTACAATTCTGGTTCCTTATCACCAAATCCACCTGCCCGCACGCCACACATTTCCAATCCATCCTTGTCCCTGCCTCAGTCCACTCCACCTCTCTAGGCAAGACCGTACTTAGATGGGCATTTGGCACCAACCTTCGCGATAGTCGTCCCTTCAACTCACCACGGAGCCTTGGCGCCGAAGCCTGGATGTCCTTTAGGTTCATCAAGTCTTTAGGGCTTTCCAGGAGTTTGTCCAACATCCGCTCCATATCAAAGCCTTCCTCCATCCGGACCGCGTACTTCTTCCTC